AAAAAAAAAAAAAAAAAAAAAACAAACAAGGAGGAAACTCAGAGCCAGTTCTCTATGAGGGGTTTAAGGCCACCCAGCCCCTCCCCGAAATGAGCTCCTGCTTTGGACACCACAGCTGGATTATCCCCAGCTGTGTGCAGCTGGGGAGGAATTTTGGGGAAGGCCAGAGGAGAAACGCACCCCAAAGGCCGGGAAGCAGCAGGACCCGTGTCCTCAGATGCCGCCTCAGCTCAAGATGTGCCGAGATGTCTCGGGGAGGAATCGCTGCCAAATCCATCGGCAGAGCCGCTCCCGGTGCCAGCGGGAGCCGCCGGCCGTGCCAGGGGCTCCCTGGGGACCTGCCACCCCCTCGGAGGCACAGCTGGAATTCCATCCCAAAATAAACAGGTGCCACCCCCTCCCCACCCTCCCAGCTCAGTCAGGGCGGGTTCCCTTCCCTGCCTTTTTTTTTTTTTTTTTTTTTTTTTGTGGATTCTGGGATGCACAGCTCGCATCCCTCTGGCACAGCCTGCCAGGGTCTGGCTCTTGTCCCCAAAATCCTTCCCACAGGCGGCGGCAGCAGAATTCCATCCCCACAGAGTCCCTTCCCTTCTCCAGGACTAAAATTAAAGGGAAAACATCTGCCCACATCCCCGGGAAACTACAAACTCCTGGAAAGCCGGGCATGGGTCTGTGTGTGCAGCAGCCTCTGCCAGCAAGGAGAAATTTTTTTTTTTTTTTTATTTTTTTGGGAAGAATCAGACATCTTTAAGGAAAACTTCTCCTTCCAACCATGTGATCCGCAGGGGGGAAGAGACTTCCCAGACGGCGGGGAAGAGCCGGAAAAGCGGATTATTCACATTCCCACAACGCCAGCACAGCTGACTTCTCCCCTGGCAGCTCCCGGGGCTGGAGCTGCCCATGGGAACGACGGAAATTTTGGGGATAGGGCGGTTTTGGGGGTGCCAGGCAGGATTTTAGTGGGATTTGGGAACGCTACGAGACGGTGCCGCATCCCGGGACGGCTTTGGGATCATCGCAGCGGGGCGCGGCGCGAGGTGTCCCCCAAAATATCCCAATGTCACCGCATTGATTGTCCCCCAGGCGCGCCCGGCACAGCCCAAAGGAGATCCCAGTTTCTCCCAGTTCCTCTCAGTTCCTCCCAGTTCTTCTCAGTTTTCCCATTTTCTCCCAGTTCCTCTCAGTTCTCCCAGTTCCTCCAAGTTCTCCCAATTCCTCCCAGTTTCTCTTAGTTCTCCCAGTTCCTCTCAGTCTTCCCAATTTTCCCAGTTCCTCCCAGTTCCTCCCAGTCCGGGCGGCGCTGGAGCTCGGGCAGTTCAATGCTGCCACCGGGTGGTGACAGGAGGGAACAGCAGCACCTGGATCCCCCCAAAATCCCAAAATCCAAAATTCCCAAAATCCCATCAGGAGATCCCAGAGCCCGGCCCGAGGCCGGGATGGCTTTGAAAAGTTGGCTAAAATTTTTTTTTAATTGAATTTTCCTTTTTTCCAGGCTGAGTTGTGGCAAATCAATGGAACGGCCGCAACGGAGTGAAAAAAATCCAGTGGTCAAAATAAATCAAAAATGAAGTGGCCAAAGTAGAGGAAACAAAATTGAAACGGCCAAAATGTTGCAAAAAATAGAAATATTCAGTGGTCACAACATAGAAATAAAATCAATTAAACTTTTCTCTGTGTGTCACCACTTAATTCCTATTTTTCCTACGTTGTGGACATTTAATTCCCTAAAAATAGCCATGATGGAACCCAAAATTAAATCATTAGGAGGCCACAAATAGCAAAAAATTAAATTAAGTGGCCACTCGTAGCAGGAAAAATAATTTCATTTCTTTGCTACCTTCTGGGCACTTAAATGGTCACAGTATATAAAAAAATTAATTAATTGTTTCACTATTTAATGTAGGGAAAATTATAAATGGCTGCATTTATAGGGGAAATAATGGTTACAAGGCAGCAAATATTCTAAATTTAAATGTGGGGATATGGTGAAATGATTTATTAAATGGCTACAACGTGGCTGGAATAGCTGTAAAATGGGTGAGATGTAGGAAAAAATATTTAGTAAACGGCCAAATGAAAAAAAAAATAGAAAATATATTAAAGTATAAATAGCAATATTTATTATCTATAAATATAAATAATATAAATAATATAAATGTGTAATATAAATAATATAAATATTATAAAAATATAAAAATTAAAATAGTAAATTAAATATATAATATAAAATAAAAATTAAAATCTTTTGAAATAGAATAAATTAAACATTAAAAACAGAAAATATAAAATAAATTAAAAATTAAAACCCAAAAATATATAAAGACCAAAACATAAAAGTGTTTTCAGCATAGTAAAAAAGTCTGAATGTGAAAAAAAATGTGATTTAATGGCCACAGCGCAGGAAAAAAATAAAAATAAATGACAAAAAATTACAAAAGAAAAAGGCAATTCCATTTATCCACAGCTCAGCCTCCAACCAAACCCTTGAATCAATGAGGAAAAGCAGGAAAAAAAAAATCCAAAATCATCCCAATCCTAGAAAAAATCATCCTGATCCCAGAAAGAAATCACCCCGATCCCAGGAAAAATCATCCCTATTCCAGAATACATCACCCCGATCCTAGGAAAAGGTCATTCTTATTCCAGAATAAATCATCCCGATTCTAGAAAAGATCAACCCAATGCCAGGAAAAAAAATCACCCCAATTCCAGAAAAAATCACCCCGATCCCAGGAAAAATCATCCTGATCCCAGAAGAAATCACCCC